TGCATATTTTGCCCTTTAATTGAGGACATCAATATATTGTCCTTTTTATACTTCTGTAACAGTATAGAGTCTGGAACCGTACTGATTGCATTCAAATCCCAGCTTCACCACTTGATAGCTGTGGCTTCTTGGATAAATTCCTTGATCTCTCTGTTCCTTGTTTATAAAATAGGGATAGTATTACCTCATAGTTTGGTTATAAAGATTAAATGAACTAATCCATGGCAAATGATTAGAACAGCACCTGGAACATTTATTATTCCAGAAGTGGAATTTTATAATTTTAAGAAAATTTGATGTTAAACACAAGATACATTTAAAATGAACAAGTTCTCAAATAAATAAATAAAATGAACAAGTTCTCTGCTTCAAAATGAAAATGTTTCTTTTTGCTTACTTATGTATGATATTATATGTATGTATATTGAGAAAATAAATCTCCAGGTCATACAAGTTAAAAGGTGAGTTGAGATAATTTTGCCTGCTGTCCTAATATTTTCATTTTATGTCATAAAAGGTCTATGTTTGAGGAGGTTTAATGTATTAAATTCTGTCTTTTGTGAATTCTTGGCAGTCAAGTACTTATACTATTTCTTAATTGATATTCATTTTAAGATAATGCTTTTAGATGAATTTACCACTAAGCTTTTGGCATCATGTTGCAAAATGACAGATCTTCTAGCCGAGGGTATAACTGGTAAGTGTTACTAATACTCATCATGAAAACTTTTTTTATTGTGATTGGGAAAGTTTGAGGTATTAATAAATTTTAGTCATTGTGTTTCTGAAGAGGTTATGTTTTACTATTTTTATAATGCTAGCCATAATAATTACATTGGACATTCTTTTCTCTGTGAGTCTTCAGAATAAGCCCTGGAAGTTTTTTCTTCAGCTGAGATAATTCATTGCTCCTGACCAAAACTAAGTTAGTTGCCTTGTTGAGTTTGTTATTGAAATTTTTAACTCTTATATATTTGATAATGGTTTTGAATGTTGACACACTGGGTTTACCTCAGTGTTTTTATAAATATTGCTGGTTTTCACGTATTGCTTTAAGTGGATAGTAAGATTGTGTTATAAAATCAAGGCGCCCCATGACAACCCTTTAAAGAGATCTTAAATACCCTCACTGATAATGAGAAAACTGAGACTCAGAGTTAAATATAGAGGCGCCTGGGTGGCTCAGTCGGTTAAGTGTCTGCCTTCAGCTCAGGTCATGATACCAGGGTCCTGGGATTGAGCCCTGCATCAGGCTCCGTGTCCAGTGGGGAGTCTGCTTCTCCTACTTCTGTGTGTGCTCACTCTCTCTCTAGCTTTCACTCTGTCTCTCAAAGAAATAATTTTTTAACAAGTCAAATATAATTCTTTTATGTTTCAGAACTTAATGTAGGATGTGTACCCTCTGTCACTGCTACCTAACAAGTAGTACACCAGTATTTTCAAGAAAACCTGAGCATTGTGTACAAGGAGAGGATTATCTAAAAGCTTTTATAATGTTTATTTTGATATTTATATCAATATATATATAAAATATATATATTGATATATATATATAAAATCTTTTTTTTTAAGTTTATTTATTTGACAGAGACACAGTGAGAGAAGGAACACAAGCAGGGCATGTGGGGAGAGGGAGAAGCGGGTATGTGGATCCCCTGGGTTCAGGTGTAGTACTCAGTTTTCTAAATTTATTTGACCACAGAAAGCCTTTTTTTTTTTTTGAGAAGCATTTCATAAGGACTGTTTATCATGGAGCACATTGCTTCCTTATATGTGCTCAGCTTGGTTTGCTCTGGTTTAATCATCATCATATCTACCAACTTGAACTTGTCCCAGTCCGTTTGAGTCCTACATGGGCTCTCAAATTGAGATTCCCTCGATTCGACTTGGCATTGCAGGTTCAGTGATCATACCTTCTGTCATCATTCAGGTCATTTGTGAAAATATTCAGTACTGTCTTAGAAGTTTTTAAAAAATGATGAGAAAAAAATGCATGTATGATGCCAGTTCAGTGAAGAATAAAGTAGAATCCTTTTAAAAAATAGACTGGGAGTTAGATTATTCCTTTGTCACCATTATAGGAATAATCATAAAAATCTTTTTTAAAAATCTCTTATTAGATATCCATTTTCCAGGGAATTGAAGAAGTGGCACTTTGTGTTGTTAATAACCAGACATTTTCAAAGTCTGTATTCTAAATCATATCATAGTATTTTCACACATTAACATGTACATTACCCACCAAACATAAGAGTATATATAGCATAAGATGACTGTAAGACACTTGATTTTGAGTATTAAGCAATAAAAGTAAGTTTATACAGATTTAACCTTAATCTTTTTTTTAAGATTTATTTATTTATTTGAGAGAGAGAAAGAGCACAAGCAGGAGGGGCAGAGGGAAAGGGAGAGAGAATCTGGGGCAGACTCAGCATGAAGCCGGTCTCGGGGCCTGATCTCTCAACGCCAAGTTCACTACCTGAACTGAAACCAAGAGTCAATTGCTTAACTGACTGTGCCACCCAGGCACCCCTAACCCTTAATCTTTTAAAGGTGAAATTACAATTGTTGGGAATGGAGATAAAAATAAAATTAAATATTTCCTTGGAAACCTTATTTGATATCCTAATAGAAGCTATGATAAACCTATACTTTACTAGTATAGATATAGGAGTAAAAAGATGAATCGCCGTATTTACCAGAGAAGTCCAACAGTAGCCTCCCTTGCCTGTCAGATTAATCTTTTTTTTTTTTTTAAGATATTTATTTATTAGCAAGAGTGTGCCTGCACACAAGCGTGGGGCAGGGCAGAGGGGGAGGGAGAGAGAGAATCTCAAGCAGACCCCCCGCTGAGGACGGAGTCCCACATGGGGCTCGATCCCATAACCCTGAGATCATGACCTGAGCTGAAATTAAGAGTTGGATGCTCAACTGACTGAACCACCCAGGCACCCCAAGTTTAATCGTTTTAATTCTTTCCAGGATCTTTGCCAACTTTAGTCTTAAAAGATGGTTCTCTTGATTTGTAGAATGATACTGTAGTTTTTTTTTAATACAGCTTCAACAGTTAATTTGACAATTTAGAGTTTATTAGTTTTAAATTCACTTTACATAAGTTAATCTTATGAACTTCTTAATTTCAATAATAAAACTATAATTGAGTAAATTGTGATATTTCATTGTTAAAAATAAAAATATTGCATAGTTTTAAAAGAATAAGAGTTAATTAGCAGTTTATTTAAAGAATATTATAGTAGTTAAGGGGCGCCTGGGTGGCTCAGTTGCTGGGCGTCTGCCTTCGTCTCAGGTCATGGTCCCAGGGTCCTGGGATCGAGCCCCGCATTGGGCTCCCTGCTCGGCGGGAAGCCTGCTCTCCCTCTCCCACTCCCCCTGCTTGTGTTCCCTCCCTGTCAAAACAAAACAAAACAAAAGAATATTATAGTAGTTAAAAACTTGGATTCTGGAGTCAAACAGATCTGGGTTGGAGTCTTACCTGTCCTACTCTCTAGCTGTGTAACTTGGACCAGTTACCTAACAACTTCAAGCCTCAATTTCCTTATTTGTAAAATACTTACTTTATACTGTTGTTATATAATACTTACTGTAAGGTTTAATAGATAATTCATGTTAAGTGCTTAGCCTGATATCTGGTATCATATTTGCTATTATAGTAGAATATTTTTAAGAAGAAATACATATTTTAATTTTTAATGCATTTTCTTGCTTTCTTCATGGCATGTTGCTTGCTTATGCTGGTAGACCTAACTAGGAAATAGCTGCTTTATCTTTTTTTTCCTCATGATGAGTACTTAGCCCAGAGTTTAGTTTTAGGGAAGATACAGTTTGGGGATTTTTTTTTTTTTAAGATTTTATTTATTTGAGAGAGAGAGAGAGTGCAAGTGGCAGAGGGGGAGGGAAAGGGACAAGCAGACTCTGTGCTGAGCATGGAGCCTGATGTGGGACTCAATCCCAGGACCCTGAGATCATGACCTGAGCCAAAATTAAGAGTTGGACACTTAACTGACTGAGTCACTCAGGCATCCCTACAGTTTTAGGATTTTTAAATATTTTATTTTTCTTTTCTTTTCTTTTTTTTCTTTTCTTTGATAGAGATAACGAGAGCAGGAACACAAGCAGGGGGAGTAGGAGAGGGAGAAGCAGGCTTCCCTCCAAGCAGGGAGCCCAATGCAGGGCTCGATCCCAGTACCCTGGGATCATGACCTGAGCCAAAGGCAGATGCTTAACAACTGAGCCGCCCGGGCGCCCCCATTTTTGGGATTTTTAAATTTATCAAATGGAGACAAAATGTTAAACCCAGTATATGTAAATATGTTTCCCTATTATAAATAAGAAGTAAAGCTTATTTTAAAATTGTTTCAAATGTAAAAATACTTGGTTATATAAAATTACTTTTTTTTATTAGTTGTGGAGAATATTTATAAGAATCGAGAACCTGTCAGACAAATGAAAGCTCTTTATTTTATCTCTCCAACATCAAAGGTGAGTATTTTTAATCTTTAAAAGGCATGTTCATCATTCACCATTGACATCATTTTCTCATAGAAAATTCAAATAAAACATTCTTTATTAGAAAAATAGTGCCATAAACTAGTTTGCTTAGGAAAGCTTTTCAATGTTAGAAAATCATTTCATTTGCAATCTTCTCAATGAGAATATATAGGTGAAAAATCCCCCCCGCCCCCATATATGAAAGCGGAATTTAATTGTATAAAACGGTAGTTTCTTTGAATAATTTGTTACTGAGTGCTGTTCCTGTGCAACCATATTTTTTGGGACGACAGAAATGTACATAAAAGAAATAGTCTTGGTTTAATCCTTTATCTTAGTGACCTCTCTATAGCGTACATTTATGTATACATATACACACATGTATGTATGCATATACACGTGTGTGTAAATATGTTTTATATGTCAAAGGAATATCTTAGTCTGTGATCTGTAATTGAGCTCATACTTAAAGCCAAACATTTAGAGCCAAGTAAATACCATATTCCTTTCTTCTGTACAGTATCTGAGAATTTTCCAATACATCCTTTGGCATGTTCCCACTCAGAATGTTGGCAATTCCAGTTTCATTTCTTCTGATTCTATTAGACAGTAGGAAAAAAAATCAGACATTCACTGTTTAGTCTCTGCATATTGGCTGCTGGTGTTTTTTTCTTTTTTTAAAGATTTATTTATTTGTTTTAGAGAGAAAGAGAGTGGGAAGGAGGGGGAGAGGGCGAGAGAAACCCAAGCAGACTCCGCACTGAGAAGGGAGCCTGATGTGGGTCTTGATCTCAGGACCCCTGGGTTCATGACCTGAGCCAAAACCAAGAGTCACGCTTAACTCACTGAGGCACCCAGGCCCTCCTGGCTGCTAGTGGGTTTTTATGACATTTTATATGCTAACGCTAATTCTTAGCACTAACATAATGGTACAAAAGACTATGTGGCCATTGAAAATGAGATTTCTAGGAAATTTTAGTGATTTAAGTAATTGTTCATTTTTAATGTTAAGTGACAGAAGCAGGATACAGAATTGTGTATTTAGTAAAGGAGCAAAGGACTCAGAGAAAATGGTACCTGAATGTGGCTCCTTTTTCTACTATAACCAACTCTAGTTTCTCTTTCAGTCCTGAGTCGATTACCTGTGTCCTACAGCCCTGTGGGTACCAGTAAGAGCTTGGGCTCATTGGACACTAGTGGAGAAACCTAGTGAGAGACTTCTTTCCTCAGTGGCGTGGTGAGCCCCTGGAGACCAGTGTCAGAGTGTTCCCAACCAGGGGTCATAAAATGACAGATTTCAGGAAGAGTTTGGCTATAAGAGATTTTCTGAACCCCAGGGGAAAGGTCGGTTGGTGAAAAAGAGAAGCCCTGGTGATTTGTTCGCTTATATACATACCTACAGCCCTCAGGAAGGGAAATCTTTTTGCCTTCCTCCTTTTGTGGAACTGCCTGTATTTAGGATTCTTCAACAACAAACCTAAGCCTCCAGTGAGTTGACAAAGGAAAGTATTGACACATCTAAGTGGGTCAGCTGCCAGAGAGAGGAAGTTCAGTAAGAATGAAGAAAATACATATCTTATAAAATATAGCTGCTTGGAGAGAAGGACGATGACCTGAACAGAAAAATAATACACGTAAGGAGAGTCTAGTATAGCACATAAAAAACTTCCTGAAGCTCAGAGGAAGAATGAAGGGGAGTAAGTCAGAGGGGGAGACGAACCATGAGAGATGATGGACTCTGAAAAACAAACTGAGGGTTCTAGAGGGGAGGAGGGTAGGGGGATGGGTTAGCCTGGTGGTGGGTATTAAAGAGGGCACATTCTGCATGGAGCACTGGGTGTTATGAACAAACAATGAATCATGGAACACTACATCAAAAACAAATGATGTAATATATGGTGATTAACATAACAATAAAAAAATAAAAACTTCCTGAAGCTCAGTGTGATTTCTCAATTAAACAGTTAATTGCAGAAAAGGATAATCATCATTGAAATTTGAATTAATAGCCTAGAAGGTCAAAATGGAATATCTCAAAGCAAAAAAACAAAGTCATGGAAATTATGGGGGAAAGATAGGAGACTTGCTGGATAGAGCCATGAGATCTAACAGAAGTAGTTCTAGGACTTCCAGAAGAAGATAAAGAAACAGATGGAGGAGAGATCATTAAATTCTGTGTTCTTCATTTTTGCTTCCACATCATTGTATCTTTAAAACTACCAGCACTAAAAATAAATAAACAAATGAACTACCAGCACTCCGGCATGTGAGAACTACCAGACTGTATTACCTGCCGTTCCTCCTTGCAGTCATTTTCCAGCCTCTGGGTCTTCATTATCCCTTGACAGTTTTTCTCCTAGCTCACTGTTACTCTCTTCAGCACCTCTTCAATCATAGTCTCAGTGGTTTCATTATCCAGATAGGTAACATTTCCAGTATGTTCATTGGCTTCTCAACTCCTTGATTTGTTACCTTCTAATGGTCTTATGTGTGGCTTCCAGCTTCTCTGTCACTGAATTGTTCCTGGATCTTCTCATTGCTGAAACTGTACTCTGTTCATACGTATTACCTTACTACTTAGGCTTTTAGCTATTACTGTCTAGACAACATAGCATTTAAAAAGAAATCCGTTTATAAAGTAAACTTTTAGAAAGTTAAAAGTTTTGTTTTATTATCAAAAAGAATAATCTTAGTTATTTCAAAAGCTAGCATATTTAAATTAGTATTTGGTTAAATGTATATTAACATCTAACCTTTTTTAAGTCTGTAGACTGTTTTTTACGTGATTTTGCAAGTAAATCCGAGAACAAATACAAAGCAGCGTATATATACTTCACTGACTGTAAGTAGCTTTGTAGAAGTATTATTTTGTTGTGAATCGTGTGAGACTGTTGAATCACAGACCTGTACCTCTGAAACAAATAATACATTATATGTTAAAAAAAGAAGAAGATAGTAGGAAGGGAAAAATGAAGGGGGGAAAATCGGAGAGGGAGACAAACCATGAGAGACTATGGACTCTGAGAAACAAACTGAGGGTTCTAGAGGGGAGGGGGGTGGGAGAATGGGTTAGCCTGGTGATGGGTATTAAAGAGGGCACGTACTGCATGGAGCACTGGGTGTTATATGCAAACAATGAATCATGGAACACTATATCAAAAACTAATGATGTAATGTATGGTGATTAACATAACATAATAAGATAAAATAAAATAATCCTATTATAAAGTCTTTCTTAAAATACTATGATTTTCTATTTATTGCTTATTCTAATAAGGTTAGAAAGATTCTAAGATTTTATTTTTTTGAGAGAGAGAGAATGAGAGATAGAGAGCACGAGAGGTCAGAGGGTCAGAGGGTCAGAGGGAGAAGCAGACTCCCTGCTGAGCAGGGAGCCCGATGCGGGACTCGATACCGGGACTCCAGGATCATGACCTGAACCGAAGGCAGTCGCTTAACCAACTGAGCCACCAAGGCGCCCTAGGTTAGAAAGATTCTAAAGATATAAGATCATATCTATCCTAATTCATATTAAGGTGATGGAAAATTAAATTCCGAACTAGTCATTTTTGCTGGTATACAGTGGTGGGGGGTTGGTGGTGAGAGCTGTCCCTCAAATTTTATGCTGATGACAGGAGGAATTTTTTTTAAATCAGAGTTTTAATTGGGGATTTGATTATATAATCAAAAATAAGACCCTTTGGGAGAGTACTGAAGAAATTGCCATCTGTTTGGCAAATATTAATGGAGAGAATCTGTCACATTTCTCTTACCATGCCATATGTTCAAATAGAAAGCAGCTAAACTAAAGAATCACAAAGTCTAGAAACACATAAATTTTGCTTTATGTTATACCTTACATAATTATACTGCAAAATGAAAATGCCATTCATCTAAGTGCAGTGTTGGTCTGTGCTATTAGAAATTCATCATTTTAAGTAGTATATTGTTTTTCCTGTAAATTATTATTTATCTCATGCCTGTAGTTGCATTTTAAAAATATCATGCCATAACTATTTATCTTTTAAATAACTATTATACAGAAATTCATGTTTATGGAATTGATAAAATTTAATGAATGTGAAGCCTCTTAAGGAATCTTGAGGCCAAAGAACATCATGTTAAAGGACACTAGGACCCAATGGTTGATGTTCTAACCTAGATTAAAGGTGGGGTTGGGGGAATAGGCTCTAAGGTCCAGAATTCATTAGTCTCAGGATTTCCTGATATTACAGAAGTTCTTGTAATACATACAAGGAAATTTGTGTGGTATGGTTGAACTTAGTGCCAGATTTAGAAAAGTAGTATAAATTCCTAAGAAGTTCTCAAAGTCCTATAAAAGTTTATTAAGTCATGGGTTTGGACCTGATTTTCCTTCCTGGTAATTTTAGTTTGCTGTGTAAGCAGCTCTCTAAGGAAATAATCTTAGCTTATGGTGCCTATGAATTTGAAAAATGGAATTTCTATTATAGCCCTCTTGGCTAGAATACATCTGCTCTGTAAAGTGAAGAAGAATATTTATATATTATCTCATCCTCATAGTAAATTATTTTGTGAAAGTCACTAATTATATGTAAAAAATAAGTATTCTTGGATGTTGAAATGATTTATTCAAAAGAATAAAAACTTAGATGGAGTTATATGCTTTGATTTCTTTTCTCTCTCTCAGTTTGCCCTGATAGTCTCTTTAACAAAATTAAAGCTTCTTGCTCCAAGTCAATAAGAAGATGTAAAGAAATAAATATTTCCTTCATTCCACTTGAATCTCAGGTACTTTCTTTTTTTATTTTTAATTTTAGTTCATAATGGATTTTATATACTGTGTATTTGGTGATTTTGAACAATCCACAAACATTTCTCATGATGAAGGAAAGAAGAGCATAAATTGGAATAGAATATTATGAAAGTGAAGCTTAAATTTCATGGCTGCCACTAAATCCTGTGTAGGTCAAGTTTTACAGCACCATGAGATTATGAAATCAAAAGATTTTGAGCAGTCTTTGTTAGATGACTCAAAAGAAATTGTTTTAGCTTCTATGATATTGTGATATTAAAACAAATGTTCTTCGATAAATGTTTTATATAACATTACAGAGATTATCTTAATTTATAAAATTTTTAATTTTTAAAATTCATTTTGACTTTGGAATAGTTATAAACCTTCAATTAATAATAATCATGGTGATAGGAAACACCTACATAGTATTCTCCATGTGCCAGACACTTTCCTCAATGTTTTCCATAAATATATTCATGTTAATCCTCATAATAGTTCTTTGAATAGATAGTAATCCTATTTTCATTTTAAAGATGGGGAAATCAAAAAAGTTAAGTAACTTGCCCCAAATCACACAGCTAGTGCATTGTTCAGCTTTGATGTGCTCTGTTCTCTGTGTTTGGATTCTAGCATTTCATAGAATGGTAATAGCTCACTGTTGTTTGGAACTATAAGGTCAATATTTTAAGAGACAGGAAGGTCCTAGAAAAGGGATTTTTCTTTTAAGCTGTTGCTGTTTTGGGCAAAGGAAAATTATAATCCAAATTGTAAAATTTTAAGATATCTGTTTAACATTAGACTGTTTCCAAAGGTTACCTTTAGACCTGTTCATTTTAATGTGATATATAAGGTTAATGTAAGGTAATATGGGTTTCCTAAGTGATGTGGGATATAAACAGTAGTGTGAGAAATATTACAAGCATATCCAGAGCATCTGCTGTACAGATGGTAAATATAATTTTAGTTTCAGAATTCATTAAAATTCTGCAGTTGCTGTATTTGAAGGAGAGATTTGTGTAGCTCTCTGACCAATTTGATTGTTGATGGAAATAACTTGTCTTTGTATAGAGAAATCTCATGAGAATCTTCTTACTGGTCTTTGCAAATGTTGTGATTATTTAAAGTCCTGTATGCTTTGTCTTTCTCCTATAAAGTTTTTGCCTTTATTTCCTTGATAAATATCTTAAGAGGGTTTACTCAGTAAATTTAACTGTTATGGAGAAATTATAGTGAAAATATTTTGAACTCTTTTCCATTTGCGAGTGAAAATATAAATGAAATACTACTAAGTGGTTTGAGCTATGAGCAGAGGCCTCTATGAGCATTTATCAAGATCACGTGCAGTGGACATTGTCTGCTAGATGCAAAGTGATTTGCTGTGCTGGGCATGATATATGCCCCACACTCACGTGAATGCTGTAAAAGGAATCCAAAGAATTATACATCTTCAAAATGATACCAACTAAAATTAGGTTTAAAGCTGCATATAATAGAAAATTTGCTTTCAGTAGCTTAAACAAGATGGAGGGGCACCTGGGTGGCTGGGTTGGCTAAGCATGTGCCTTTGGTTCAGGTCATGATCCCAGGGTCCTGGATTGAGCCCCGCATCGGGCTTCCTGCTCGGCGGGAAGCCTGCTTCTTCCTCTCCCACTCCCCCTGCTTGTGTTCCCTCTCTGACTG